CAGGAGCGCCCCTTTGCTACGGCCAGGCTGCAGCCAGCGCGCCGGGGCAGCTGCACGGAGCTGGTGGCGTTCTGCTCCCTGCCTGCAAGCTCCAACGCTCCTCCCAAAACAGGCCCAGCTTTGCTTGCGTCTTCCTCGTCCGGCGGCAATTCCCATTAATCCGGATGGCCGATCTTGACCGAGGAGAGACGACGAGGAAAGGACTGCCTAATGCATCTAGCGAGCAGACGATACCCGGAGAGCAGAGGACGTTAGAGAAAGCGGTAACGCGTTAGGTTCCCGCTCGCCTGTAGCGCAGCTGACCGAGACTCCCAAGCGAACCGAGCCCTTAACCTTATTAAGAGACTTATTGTGTATTTGTCATTTGAGGCTTTCCAAGTGCTCTGTTATTCATACTGTATCTCTAAAACTCAGCAGCCTGATTTGACACAGTCAGTAAGCAGGCTATCAGGCTTGCTCTTCATGTCAAGACTCTCGGTACTATTTGCTTAAAAAGGATTAAGCAGCCTTATCCATGTTACCATCTCCCCTGGCTTTCAAAAATAAGAAATCTCTTCTATTCATAGCTGCATGTAATGAATATTTATACACCCAAATCTCTATTGCAGAGATCTGTCACTGGATTATTCAATTTAATAATACTTCTGGGATAACTAAAAGGCCCATATAATTGCTAATCTCAGCCAACAAGAGGGCAACAGATTGAAAATTCCCTAGGACACGAGCCCTGAGCGCGCCCGCAGATGCAGGATGAAGGACCTTTTCACTCGGCGGCGGACAAACGCCCTGCAAAAGGCCACCTCTTCCTTCAGGCCCACCACCTGCCTCAACGTGCCACGTTTCTTCCTTAGTTTCATCTACCTCGGTAAAGTTCCTTCCTCCTTCTCTCACCACTGCTTTGGAGGTCTGACTCGTCGAAACGTGGAGCGTCCGGACCAGAGGGAGCAGCACTGATGCTGCAGAAGGTGGTACCCGGTCGGGAGGCTGCTCCAGCGCCTCCCGCCTGGCTCACACTGCCACCGAGGGAGCAAGCTCTCGGGGGAAGCGCCTAAAAAGCACGACTTGCCGATACCGCTGACCCCCCCGAGGCCCCCCGTCAGGCGGCAGCGAGGTCCAGCGAGCATCTTGCCGGCCCGGATCCGCAAGGGTCCACTCACCTGGCCCTGCGACTCCAGCTTGACTTCCTCTGCGGCGGGTGGCTTGGGCAGCGGGACGGGGGTCGTGTTACACGGATCCATCTGCTCCGTCTTCTCCACCTTCACCTTCACGTCGTCCAGACTGAGGGCCGGCGCCGCGGCCAGCTCCTTCTCGTCCTTGTCTAGCAGGTAGCGCAGGAGCTGGTGATCCTTGACATCTTTCTTCTTCAACGCCTCGGGCTCCAGTTTGATTTCCGGCGTTCCCGGGAGCTGGCTGGGAGCCGTGGGGGTGCTGGCGGGGTTCGGGGCGCTATCCTTTTTGTCGTGCTCCATCGCCAGCGTGGTGATGTCGGAAGGGCTGCCCTCCTGAAGGAGTCTGTGCAAAATTTTGTGCCGCTCCGTCAGCGAGCTGTGGGAGGAAGGGCACGTGCTGCTCGGCGGGTTGCCGGCGGCCAGGCCGCCAGCGGCGCCCGCGCAGGCGAGGGAGTCTTTGCAGCTCGTGTCGGCATCGGCGTGCCGCAGTTGCTGCTCCGCCGTGGTGGGCAGGAGC